CTGTAATGTGTTGTCAAAGAACATTTATGTGAAAACGATCTACCACATACACCACACGCAAATGGTTTTTCACCGGTATGCGATCTACAATGTATAGCTAGTTTACTGCTTGACATAAAGCATTTTTCACAAACATCACACGCGTAGGTTTTATAACCGGTATGCGTTCTATAATGTACATTCAAACTACATTTCTGTGAAAACGATTTATCACATACATTACATGCAAATGGTGGTTTTTCATGTTCATCATAAACGGATTGATGTTTACATCTGTTAATTTCATTCGGAAAAACTGTGCTATCCGAAAAAGTCGCCTAGAAATAAATATAGCTTATTTTATTATACGTCTATACAAAATTATTATGTTGAAAAAATGTAATCATATATCGTGTATGAAAATATCAGTATTTATCAACCAGGCATAAAATTGTAAAGGGTGTAATTTTTTAATTATTAACACCTAATTTGATATTTTTAACTTTGTTAAAACCCAATTAGTATGATTGTATGTTAATTATTAGAAAAAAATGTTCGAGAAGAGTATTCAATTATTGATTTATGATAGAATGTAATTTTAACATTTTCCCCGGGCGTAAAAAAATATCTAGTTCCACTTTGGTCCTATACATACCTAATATAATAAAAAATATAAAATATTTTTTATTTAAGTTTTTCTTTAATAATACAATAAAAATAATAGTATTAAGGTACGGTTTCCTATCTGCGGCTGGCCGCAACGACTAGTCACAACTACTGAACGCTGCGTGCCGACTGGTTTCCTATATGCGACTTTACTTTGCAGCTGGTGTATAATAGTTCATTTTATTCCAATATTTAGTAATGTGCAGACGTATTTAGCTTATAACTTTTTATTTTAATAACTATTGTTGTACCTTACGAATTGTACGAACTGTGATGGAGGAAATTATTATTAATAATAATACAATAATTAGTCTTCTATTAGAGGAGGAAGAAGAAGAAGATGAAATGTATAATAATCGATTAGAAATTAATAAAAGAAAATCAATCGACAGTTTTTTTACAATAAAAAATACAATTAGTATTTACAATACTAAAATTTCGTCCTCGTTGGGCAAAAATTTTGACATTATACTTTTTGGCATAATTATTTTATATTGCGTTAAATAACTAATAAATAACTAATAAATTAAATAAAAATAAACAGTTGACAACACGCATGCGACTGATCGATAATATTGCTATCGGATCACTACAGTCACAAGCCGCAACGACTATTTTTGACACGCACGCGTCGATCGCACATTGGAAACCATGTTCGCAGTTTAAATATCGATCAGTCATTGCGACTAGTCGTGGCGTTCAGTCGTAGCGGCCAGCCGCAGATAGGAAACCGTACCTCTAGCCAACGATATCGATATCGTTGATATTTTCTTAATAATTTCGATATCGATATCTAAAAATAATTATCGAAAATATCGCGATATCGGTGTGATTAATCGGGGCTCGGAATTTTACAAACGATTAAATTATTTTTGGTATTTTTGAATTAAATTGAATTAAATTAATAAAATTATATCTGTAAAAGTATAAAGTAGATACTAAATTATAATATGAGGCGAATGTAGCGTGAACCACGTATGCGTCGCCACCTAGCGGTGTCCAATTATGCAACTGACACCGACGAACCCGCTCTCTTTGATATGCGCGGTGCGTCGCACCTTTCGCGTCAGTTAATATCCAATATATAGAGCGCTCTTTTTTCACTGACGATTTTCTTTCCGAACTTCTTTTACATTTTCTAATCTTTCAAATTAATTTCGTGATCTCCACTGCTAAAAAATCATCAATATATATCTGTAAGCACTTCTCGAAACTACTCCGCGTCACAATACATCTTCAATTTAAAAGAAAACTAAGAAAAACCAAAAACATCGCTAACCTACACTCTGCTATACAAATCCAGATCTGACACGCTTAAATACCCGGCCAAATAAACTCAAAATCACCTCTCTCGCAGTTGTTCTGTCGAACTTCCATGGGTACTATGCATATAGAATATAATTCGTTGTATTTCACTATATGTTACGTAGTTCCCCGTAGTCAAGTAGACTGACAACTAGCCAGTTGAACTTCATCAACTGTGACGTCGTCAACTTCCCTAGCAATACGAACATTAGCCGCCATCCACAGTGCCGCTGCCCGTCGTATTTTATCTTTTTTTTACCAACTCAATCCAGGACATCCCACCGCTGGTTCAGCCGCCCGCCACTTTTGCCGCAGACAAGCCAAGCAGCTCTTGCGGTTTGGGAGGAACTGTTCTCCATCAATCATTCAACATTTTAAACTAAAATAATCAGTAATATATCTTCATATAAATGCTATATATGTTTGTGTCATATTTGTAATTTTATAAATAAATATTATTATCATCTATTTATATAAAAACACTGTCTAATATACTTGGAAATATATACATATACGTATACCTTGACGATCCGACACATAGAGGAGAGTCAAACGTTACACGATATGTTTCAAAGAAATAGGCTATTACAAAATAAATTAGCTATTTCAAATAGCTCACCACATCAAACAATTTAATCTAAATTCAGTGTGGATTGTTAACTCGGGGTGAGACGTCGTAATTATTTTATTTTGCTCTTTATTTTATATTTATATTAAATAAAATTAGTGAAATTTTTAAATTAGTACCGTTATCTGGTGCTAGAAATGATATACGGCAACATTTTGGATTTAAAGTTAATAAAAAGGGGATTATGTCAAATAAAAATCAAGTTTTTTGTAAGTGCAAATATGCTGTTGGTTATAGTGGAAATACGACTCATCTCAAATCACATTTTCAGCAATGTTCATGTACAAAACCAAGTACGTCAAGTACGTCAGTTTGATTCCATATTTTAAGCAAATTCCATCCAAATTATCAAACAAAACTAAACGAACTATGGAAATAACAAAAAGCCTGATGAAATTTGTTATTAAAGATTTAAGATCTTTGAGTATTATAGAAAGGGAAGGTTTTCTTGAATTTATGGAAATAGCCGTACCTGAGTATATTTTTCCTAGTAAACAAACAATAACTAGACTTATTGAACAGACAGCAATAAACGGAAGAGAAAATTTAAAATGTTTTTTAAAAAATATTCCACATGTTTGTATAACAATTGATTTTTGGACGTCACTGGCAAATCACAGATATTTATGTGTAACTTATCATTATTTAGAAAAGTGGTGTTTACGTACACGCATTTTAGAAACAGTGGAAGATCCTGAGTCCCACACTTCAATAAATATCGTCAACAATTTAAAATCTATTCTTAAATTTTGGAACATTGAAAATAAAGTTAGTGCTGTTTTATGTGATCATACTGCGAATATGGTCAAAGCTATAAATTCCAAGGATCAAACATATTTAGTTAGATGTACTGCTCACTCTATACAGTTATCTATAAATGCAGGGCTCCATAATGATATGGTAAAAGAATTAATTGATAAACTGAGAAAAATAGTGGGATATTTTAATAGAAGTGCTTCTGCACAAAATGAAGTTGAAAATGAACAAGAAAAGTGTAGCGAAAAAAAACATAAACTAGTTCAAGACTGTGTTACTCGTTGGAACTCGATATGTGATATGATTGATAGTGTCTTAGTGTGTAAAAATTCAATTAATAATATTATTTCTAAAAACAAAAAAATTCATAAATGGCTTCTGGTGAATTTAAAAATATGAAAGATTAATTGAAATTACTGGAACCATTTAAAATTGTCACAGAAGTATTAGGTGACGAAAACTACACAACTGCTTCAATAGTACACAGATTGATAAAAAATCTTTTAAATACGTTAAAAGTTAGTTGTACGGTCGCGTATCGTTTTTATTAAATGTATTAATGTTATCTATCGTAATCGCGCGATAAGGCACCGTAGTTCAACGAC